GCTGGGTGGGAGGGGGTTACTGGGTCTCATTGACCTCCTCATGCCTCTGTTCCCCCCCCTCCCTCCCGGCACCCTGCAAATCCATCACCAACAGGTCCTGGCGCTGCCTCCTGCAGAGTGGGATCCTCTCTGATGGCTCATCGCGGTGCTGGGGGGTTTTTCTCTCTTTTACTGGCCCAGCAAACCCCTCTGTTTTGACTGGGGTGCTGCGGGGAGTTGGGATGTCTGTGCTTTTCCATGGTGCCTGTGAAGGGGGACGCAGGTCTGAACCCCAACGCTTGTAGGGTTGCACTGGACAGACCAGGGGCCGTGGCTACTTATGGTCCCTTCCCGGCTGGGAGCCCCACAGATCTCACAACACTTGTCAGGGGTGTTTTGGGGTCCCACCATGATGAAAATAGGATTTCTCCACTGCTGAAACACCACGTTATGTACCAGAGCGCTGGGAACTGTTTCTCATAAGGGGCTCACTCACCTCCTGGTGTTTCATATCCCCCTGTTGAACAAACCCTCCCCAAGCACAGCTGTAAAATCCTCAGGATACACAGGAATTACTGAACTGGGAGGTTGTGACCTTCCCTGGGGCTGGGCAAGGCGGAGGCTCCCGGACTGGCCGGTGGCAGGAAGCCAGAGCAACCGATGGGCGTTAAATCAAGCAGCAGGTTTGGCATTGGTGATGTTTGGGGCTTGTACTTGCTGTGGGGATCCAGAGCCCGTAGGAACATGTGCCCAAGGGTTTTTCTGCATCCATGACTCCTTCAGCCAATGCTTTTCCTCCTCACCTGTAGCCAAGAGCCTCCCCTGACGGCATGGTGCCAGGAGCTGGCACGGCTGTGGCAAAGCCTGGTGCTGGGGATGGGATATTGCCGGGCAGGGAGATGTGAACAGAGTGTTTCTGCTGCTAATCCAGGCTGTTCTCTCCCCTTCCTCCCTCCCAGTTGCAGGAATACTACAAGAAGCAACAGGAGCAGCTTCACCTGCAGCTATTGACACAGCAACAAGCCGGAAAGCAGCAACCCAAAGAGGTGAGCTCACGCAGATGGGTTCTGGGCCATCAGATATGGCAACAAATAAAAGGGAGACCAGCACAAAACAAGGTGTGTGTGGATCCCAGCCGGGAAGGAGCCAGCAGGGATGGGACATGGGGTATCCTGCTCCTGGGAGGTGCCAGGGCATCTGGTCCGGGTGCTGGGAGTTCCTCCTCCTCCCTATCTGTGGTCTGGCACGTGCATCGAGCTGCGTCGTTCTCAGCACCACGTCCTTGTCGGCACATCTAGAAATTACGGAGTGGGTGTGGGGAGTGGTGAAGTCAGCGGGTGTGAGCAGAGCTGTGGGACCCTCCCTGGTGGAAGGGGCAGGTCGCTGCCCCCCAGGACAAGAGCGAGGGCTCCCCAAATCCTCCTCGCAGTGTGGGGCAGAGGAGGCTCAGCTCAGCCCCTGCTCGATGCACTGGCCCTGCCAGGCTCTTGGCACAGCTCAGGTTGGGCAGCCCAGTCCTGACTGAGCTGGCACAGCAGCACCCTGGCATGTAGGTAGGCAGGCAGGGCTGGTCAGGTGGGAACCCAAGCCAGGGTTTTTCCTGCCAGGAACGGGCACTTCTGTAAAACCCAAGAGCTGCATGAAATAGCAGTGATGCCAGGAAAGGGCTTTTCCAGCAGGAGATGCTCAGGCAGGGGATGCTGTCAGCCCCCTGTCACCAGGTTGGCAGTGGGAGGTCCCCTTTGCTGGGGAGGTAGTTGCATGTTGGAGGAGTGTTTATGCGGGTGTGATTGCATCAGTCTTGGATAACTGCCTTTACCCAACAGGTTTTGCTGTCCTTTCCCACAGTAACACCCTCCGAGGTGTTATGGCTCTATCAGCAGCGCTCAGTTTTGGGGGTGTGCTGGTTGCACGGAGGCTGGGGGTCAATCCTGACCTGCAGCAGTCAGACAGCCCCACATCCTTCTTTTTTATATATTTTTATCCTTCTCTCTTCCTAAATTGATAGTGCCTGGGGATATTTTGCATTGTGCATGCTGCTGTGTATCTGGCATCACTGCCTTTACTGTTGAGCATCCTTCCTTGAGCTCCAGGCACAGAGGGACATGGAGCTGAGCCGCTCAGTCCCTGTCCCCAGCCGAGCATTGGTAGCAAGGAAGGGAACGGGATGCTGGTGCTGTTCATTCCCATCACCCCCTCCTAAAATCCAACACCCTGATTTACACTCATCCATTCTCAGCACTTAAAAATTCAGCTTTCTTTTGAGGACGAAAGCGTTTGAAGCCCAGACTGCCCATTTGAGTGGCTTCAGCAGGGGCTTGACGGCAAAGCACACGCCAGTGCTGGGGAAACAGGGCAGCTGAAATGACTCAGGGTCGGGCCAGCACCCACTCGAGCCTTCAATAGACTTTGACCCGGGCTTTCATTGCGGGATGTTGGTGTATTTACGCAGCGTGTGCAGGGTCAGGCTTTATCAGAGCCATCTCCAGGAGCTGGAGTAGCTGCTCATGCTCCAGGAATGGGGGAAGCATAAATCTGAGCTTCCTCAAGGACTTTCCTCTTGGCTGTGGTGATGTTCTATTGCAGCAACGAACGGGGATATAATTAAACTCTAACAAAGGGCTTGCTTAGCGGGCTGCTGGTTTAAAAAGCTTGTGTTAACTTTTAATTAAATGGTACAGAGATGAGAAATTTATCTGCTAAGAAAGTCTGAGTGACCAGTGCAGAGGGGAAGGGGCATTCGATGCTGCTTGTGTATCCTTGTGGCATCACCACCCCACAGCCAGAAAAAACAGCGAGGGGGTCCCCCACGAGTGGATGTCATAGTGTTTCCCCTCCCCAAAAACCCCTGGTTGGGCTTTGTGGGGTTGGCTTCACCCTGTGAATTTGGGCAGCTGCTATTAATAAAGCCTGTGTTGGGCAGCAGCACGTGCCTGCCGGGAATGGTGATGCCGTTGCTTCCCCCGACGGCACAGGGAATAGCTGGCGTGTCTGGGATGCCGCCGCAGAGCCGCTCTTGGCCGGCACTGGCTCCTTCATGGAAATCCACGGCGGTATTTAATTACGGCCCCGCTGTAAGATTTGTAAACCAAGTGCCTTCTGCTTTCCCTCTGCTTGATTTCAAGGACTCGCTTCAGTGTAATTGTAAGTCAGCGGCTCGTCTGCGAGCGCGGAGGGGGATCAGCAGGTGGGAATGGTTTTGTGCCGGGAGCTGGTAGCAGCAGGTCATGGAAGAGTGGCTCAGATCTCCCCAGGAGGAGCAGCACAGCTGGAGGTCTCCTGGCGGGCATGGGGAAGGGGAGAGCAGGAAAAGAGGGAGCGTGGAGGATGGAAATGTGTCGGCAGCGTCCTGTCCCAGAGGATGCGGGGATGCTTTGTGTCCGCGGGCTGTGAGGAGCTGTGCCACGGTGGGGGTCTGAGGAAAGGGCTGAGCAAGGCTGATCCATATATCCATGCATCCCACTGGGACTGGGCACATCCCAACCCATCCCAGAGCATTTTCCTGCATTAGGGTGTATGGGGGAACTCAAGCACCCAGCAGCACCCTGGGCACAGGGGGAACAATTTGCTGTGGCACAGGGCTGGGATGGCTCTGGGCATCCCCTTGTCCTCATGGCAAGACATGGTGAAGCTGGTGTCTGCCGTCCTGCTCTTCTTTGCTTTGCCTCACCAAGCTCAGCTTCTGCAGAGACCCCAATATTCCTTGGGGACGAGGCCAGTGGGTCTCTATGTGCCTCCAAAGCTACTGGGGTGGGGGAATTTGTCCCTCTCTCGAGTCTGGCGGGGCAGGGGAGGGGGGTGGCACAGGGAGGGGGCTGCTTGCCGCCTAACCTCGGTGTCAGCTTAATGAACTGCTCCTGTCAGTCCGGCGTGTCACGCCGAAACTCTTCCTGATGTGCTCATAAATCAAAGTGACGGCGGCTCTTACCCCTGTAGCTGCACCCAGTCATCTGCGTCTAATGTACGCTGAGCGCCGGCGAAGCTCCGGACCCCGAGCCCCCGCGCTGGGACAGGAGGTGGGACTGGGATGTGGGGGTGTGGGGGCTGAATATAGGATCCAGCCCTAACACAGAGCCAGCTCCTCCAGTGGGTGCTGGGGGGTCCCCTCAGCATTTGCTGGGCTGGGGTTTGTTGAGGGGAGAGGAGCTGAGCGAAGCTCATGAAGCGATGGCTGAGGAGAGAGGTTTTTGATAAGGCTGAAATTCAGGATCTCACCACCCTGCCTTCTGCAGGGCAAACTCCTGACTCAGAGACCCTGGGATGGTGGGTGCTGTTGGGTGGGTCTGCACCCACCTGCACCCATCTTCACCCATCACACTGGGTTGTTGTGATCCTGTGCAGTTTGTTGGCTGTGCGGTGCAGCAGTTGCTCTCGAGGAACTGGTAAATTGGCTTCCTCAGAGAGAAGTGGTCCTTGTTTTGGCTTAGCCCAGGCATTTGTGCATCTGTTGAGCATCAGGACTTATGTTCCCAGGGCTGGTCTCCATATTTGTGGTCTGGTGAAGCTGGAAGGATGGGCACATGGGTTTGTAGCATGTGAAGGTGCAGGTTGAACATGGACAGCATTGTCCCTGCCAGGACCACACATGGGTCAGGGCTGCCCGGTCCCCTGGGAACTCAGTGGGGGGCTGACTCGGGAGAGCCCAGCCAAGGCTACAAGGCGCAGGCAGCGTGCCCTGGGGATCCTCATGACTTCATCCGCTCCCAATTTCCTCCTGCTCCGCAGCCTGGAAGTGCCATGAATGGAGCTGTGTTTGCGCAGAGCCTGGGCTTGCCCTGGGGCCCCCGGGGAGGGTGGAGGGGGAGCTGGGAAGAGGAGGAGAAGCCCATCCCATCCCATTCCACCTCATCCCATCCCATCCTGTCCCAGCTGGCATTTCTAACCAAGGTGAGGACATGTGTGTCCATACCATGTGGTGGCAGAGCTTCCCCTGGCAGGGGACAGGGACAGCGCTGCCTCTGTAAGGCCCTTGGATGCACAGCCTGGTCCTGCCTTTTTCCTCCATCGTGGTCCTACGGTCCATGGTCTCCCCAGTCTTGGCTCAGCACCTTGCTCAGGAGCGAGGGCAAGCGTGGGGATTTCTCTTCCCTGAGCAGAAATCACTTTGATTTGTGCCTTTATCTTCAAACATCAGAGGGGCAGGACTGAGGCAAAGCCAGAGAGGATCCAGACCTGACTCTGGGGGGACAATTCTGCCGTGGCCAAGAGGTGGACAGGACAGGTCTGCACATCCCTCTGAGGCTGAGCAACCAGTTTTAAACTCTCTCCATGCCCTAGACAGGATTCGCAGTCGCTTTATGTTGTCTTATGTTGCAGCCCACAGGGATTTTTTTGCAGAGCAGTGCCTGGACCCCATCCTCACCCTCTGTTTCACAAAGCCATGGCCGAGCATCAGCATCTCCAGGGAGCTGCCTGTATCCCACGGGGCCTGGGGTGCTGCTCCAGGTACAGCAGCACAAGCTGATCCTAAACAAAGCTGTGGGATCACCATGGAGAGTCCGTGAGTCTGTCTGCTGTTCCCGGTTGAGCAGAGCGAGATGCAGCTCTTGGGAATCATGGAGAGAGGAAGGTGGGGCTGTTCCAGGTCCCTCAGATCCCCAGTGCACCAGGGACCTCAGTCCTTGCAATGCTTAGAACCAGGCAGGAGATTAAAAATAGGGACGTTTCTTATTGCAAAGCTCTTGTGCTCATCAGAAAGAACATGGACATGAAAAGACTTATTTTTGGGCCAAGCAATGGGGCTGCAAAGTGCCCCCACTCATGAAAGCAGCGAGATCAGGGGGAAGCACCTTGGCATGGGCTTGGCTGATGTTTTTTGCCAAGGCAGGGGCTTGCTCTGCTCTGCCCAGAGGGACTCCAGCACTTTTGCTCAGGGTAATGGAGCTGCCATGGAGGGATCCAGCCGTGGTTGGTACGGCACAGCCAGCTCACGCTGCCTGCCAGGCCGGCTCCTCACAACCTGCAAACACTGTCTGTGCAAACAGAGGGGTTCAGGGGGTTACGGAGACGCCTGCCCCGCTAATGAGGCCGGGCAGGCCCAGGGCAGCTCCCCTCTCGTGGCCAGCTCGGATTAGCAGCTGCCTGTCCCCATCCCTAATTGAATTCTCTCCCCTTCAGTTAATTCTCATGGATTTCTTGGTGCTTCCCCAGGGACCTGTCCTGCCTAACTAGTTTAGGGCTGGCTACACTGGTCAGAGTGCAGCCAGCTCCTGGGGATGGGGGGCAGAATTGCCTACCTTGGGGGTGCTCGTGACTGGGGTGGGGGCACCTGTACTGGCACCAGGCACCTGCTCCCTTGCAGACAGCTGGTTTTGTCCCTCACCAAGAAGGGGCTCATAATGGCCATTTTTGTCAAATATGAACCATTTCCCTGCTTAAAGGAGGGTCTTGTACATCCAGGATGCCTTTCGGGTGCTGGGACACCCCCTTTCTCTTGGTGATGCTGCAGCTGAGCCTCCCCGCATGGGACCCCAGAGCTCAGCTTTGTGGGTTCACCCACCTGGCAGGCAGAGCTGGATCTCTGCTCTGAGCAAGCCCTGAGCTCTCCTCACTCCTTCTCT